GACCTACTAATGAGAGCTTCCGAAGGTATCCGGTCGTTAGTGCGGCGCTGGCCTTACCTCAACGATCTGCCGTTCGAGGATTTTCCGGACATCCGAGTGGACAAATTGATCGTCTGTGATGTACCCGAAGCGCATTGAGTTCTGGACCAAATGATAGGAGGCCGTGGAGATCCCTATGCTGTGCGTACGATGTTCAGTTGGATACTCTGCGGGCCGCTCAGTAATGATGGTAATTACTCAGCCTCGATCAACTTCATCTCGCGGCCAGGTAATCCCATAGGAGACGACCTGGAGCGGCTTTACAATCACGCGTTCGGCGACATAGCAGACGACCGGGTATCTATGTCGAGGGAAGACCAAGCAGCCCTGGCTGTCGTCACCGAAACGACACGACACAACGGAACCCAGTTTGAAGTGCCGTTACCCTGGCAAACGGGATCCAACCGACTGCCAGGCAATCGAGAAATAGCACTCCATAGGCTCAACTACCTGGAAGGTAGATTAAAGAGGAACGCACAGTTGAAGGAAGCCTACTGTAACGCCATGAAACGCAATCTAGAGTTGGGATATATCGAACACGCAATGGGAGGAATCGAGAAGGAGCAACCATTGTGGCACCTTCCGCACCACCCTGTCATTAACCCCAAGAAGCCCCAGAAGATCCGGGTTGTCTTCGATTGTGCTGCCAAGTGTGCCGGGATTACTCTGAATGACCGTCTATTACAAGGCTCAGACCTGACTATTCCGCAGGTTGGAGTGCTGTGCGGATTCCGGCTGGGGTCAGTTGCAGTAGCGGCTGATATCGAGGAGGTGTTCATGCAAGTCAAAGACCCGAAGGGCCCACGGATGCTCTACAGTTGTGGTGGTGTCCGGATGGAGACCTAGACGGACCTGTCCAGGAGTATCGGATGATGGTGCACCCGTTTGGCGCGATATCCGCTCCAACTCGATTGGATGGACCGTAACCTGCTGGACTGATTCCGCTATAGTTCTTCACTATGTTAGCAATGTACGAACGGGCTTCAGCACATTTGTTGCCAACCGGTTGGCTGTCATTCAAGAAGCAACGGAGGTGGGTCAATGGCGGCACGTAAAATCCTCTAACAATCCAGCTAACTACTGCTTCAGGGGTGTGCTGAACTTTGAAAAAATAAAACTATGGTTACATGGACCGGCTTTTTTGACAGACCAGCCCAGCGAATGGCCCGACACTCAGATTGCCCCTGCCGCAACGGAGTTACTGGAGACTAAGAGGACCGTTACGTTAGTCGCTGCATCAACCAACACCTTACTGTAGAAAAAGACCCGAAGGGCCCACGGATGCTCTACAGTTGTGGTGGTGTCCGGATGGAGACCTAGACGGACCTGTCCAGGAGTATCGGATGATGGTGCACCCGTTTGGCGCGATATCCGCTCCAACTCGATTGGATGGACCGTAACCTGCTGGACTGATTCCGCTATAGTTCTTCACTATGTTAGCAATGTACGAACGGGCTTCAGCACATTTGTTGCCAACCGGTTGGCTGTCATTCAAGAAGCAACGGAGGTGGGTCAATGGCGGCACGTAAAATCCTCTAACAATCCAGCTAACTACTGCTTCAGGGGTGTGCTGAACTTTGAAAAAATAAAACTATGGTTACATGGACCGGCTTTTTTGACAGACCAGCCCAGCGAATGGCCCGACACTCAGATTGCCCCTGCCGCAACGGAGTTACTGGAGACTAAGAGGACCGTTACGTTAGTCGCTGCATCAACCAACACCTTACTGTAGAAACTGCATCGTTTTTCACGATGGACGAAGGTGCTGATGGTGGTTGTCTGGTGGACCAGATCCAAACGACAAATCGTCATTCTGAGAGGACTCCGACCTGATGACACCTTGAATATTGGGCCCATCGTTCCAACTGAATTGAAAACAGCGGAAGCTGATGTTGTTCGCATGGTTCAATCGCAAGCCCTCTCGTCAGAGCTTCAGAGGTTAGGCAAAGGGGAATCGTGACTCCAACCGACGTGCATTACGTTTCCGTTTTCTCCGAAGACTCTGTCCAATATTGGTAGATGGTTTGCTGAGAGTAGGCGGAAGATTGACAAACTCTGAGTTGAACTTTGACGCTAAATATCCCATCATCTTGCCCAACAGCCACCACATCAAACACACACATAATATATATTCACATGCAAGAAAGTCATGCCGGGGAAAATCGCCTACTCAATACGATTCGTCGTCCGTTTTGGATAGGGAGAGCTACGATGAAACGCATCGTGGGCAACTGTCTCTTTGTCGTCGGTAGAATGCTACATTCAGCAAACAACTGATGGCCTCGTTACCAAGTTCCTGAGTACGACCAGGTTGGTGGCCCTTCGCCGAAACTGGAGTGGACTACTTCTGGCCACTTTGGGTGAGACGAAAGACGTCGATGGAGAAACAGTACGGATGCCTGATGACCTGCCTGCAGTCACGAACTTTGCATATAGAGACTGTACACAGCATGTTGACCGACTCCTTCCTTATGGCCCGGAAGAGATTCGTGGGTAGACGAGGTAATCCACCGATTGTGTTCTCCGACAAGGGGTCCAATTTTGTCGGTGCACAAAAGGAGTTGAACGACTGGTTGATGCGGTTAGACAAATGCGCCCTGCAAAACCGACTGTCACCATCTGGAACCCAATGGCACTTCAATCCACCTTACAGCAGTCACCGCGGAGCCGTTTGGGAACGGCTTGTACGGTCGGTGTGAAAAGTATTGACGGCATTATGTGAACAACAGGCGTCGGATGATGAAACTTTGAGCATATTTCTGGTAGAGGCGGAAAGGTTAGTCAACAACCGACCGCTTTTACCCGTCACCAGCGATGACCTGCAAGGACTGGCACTAACTCCGAGCGACCTTCTGGTATTGAGGTCCAATGATGGTCTAGATTTGCCAAAAACTATCAGTGGCTGCTATACCTCTGGTTAGAAGCATGCGAACTACCTGACAGGGGTGTTTTGGAAGCGTTGGACAAGAGAGTACCTGCCAACCCTTCAAGCTCGACAGAAGTGGTTGCATAGAGGACGGTCATTGAAGGTTGGGGACGTTGTTCTTATGGCGAACGAAAGGCTACAAGGCGACAACTGGTCACGGGTGTAGTCATAGAAAGCCACACGGACTCAGATGGGCTAGTAAGAACAGTAAATTTGAAAACATCTGCCGGTGAACAGGTGCGCGATATTCGACGAGTGTGTTTGTTGGAGGGAGATGACCACCATGCCGTTACTTGATGGAGTTGCGGAGACCCGCCGTGTATTATATTAACTTGCCTTCCCCTTGTATCAATTGCGCCCCAGTGATATTCACCCCACCTGTATAAACAGGTGCTTCCACGTCTTGGCCATACATTCTCTCCATTTCATTTCGTGACCGAGTGTCCCTTTATCAGATTGATACACAATTTATGACATTAACCTCAAAGGTGTGACCCATGTCCTCACAACATCCATCCATTCACATTCACACAATCACCTGCATGCTGAACATGATTTTGTTTGTAAAACTTGAAGATTAATTACATCGCCCACATTCCCCCCTCCTTGTTTAAGCATCGAGACTTTATCTGTAATGGTATTCATTTGACCCACTGCTATGAAGTTATTGTGTGACTAGCTGCAAGCGTGCTGATGCAGAAGGTAGACCTCGACCAAGAAACGTGCAAGTCGCCAGAGGTCAAGATCAACGAGCGCGGCGAAGGCTGAACAGTTCGTAGGTAGAAGCACTAACAGCAGAGACTAGGTAGGTAGATAGGTAGGCAAGAATCAATGACATGCGCCAACCCTTTGATTCAGACCAGCGCAGGAAGGATTTTGGCGGTCGGTGAATTTCATGCTGAATTTTTTGAAAATCCTTCCAAACCCATAATGATTTATGGTGACAACTCTATCTGTGTGTTGCTTCTCTATTGACATTTTTCGATCACAAACACCATACATCTTTATTTATCTGTTAATTCGATAAAAGCACATTTGAATTTTGGGGGATCAGAGAACGTGAGCGACTGTTTGCGTCTTTCTGGACATCTTATTTGACTCGCTTGCTTGAGTGCTCTCGGTCGCATATTTGAGGTTTGCTTTGTTGTACATTTTGTAATGATTTCGTTAATTCGGTACCGTAGAACATAACGGAACAATCGTGTTAGATTTCGGGATTCGTATCGGTTTCGGCCACGAATCACTCAAGTGCGAATTGGTTGACGTACAGTTTTTTTCAGATTGTGGTCTCTCTTTAAATGGAGCAAATGTACGGTCGTACTATGTGGGAGTGCTCAGGTTTAGGGCCGCGCTACATGGGAGCGCGCGACGGGTATGCTGTGGTAATTTTGCCAGAGATCAGGGACCTAGGGGTCACTTTGAACTCCGCTTTTAACTCCTCTGTCCAGTGTCTTTCTTCGCACGTACGGCCAATACAGCGTTGTTCATATTGAAGCGCAGTGACGTCTAGGGATTCTGTCCTGTTAGTCCCGCTCTACATGGCCTTGGTTTGGTCGAATCTTGAGTACTGCGTACAATCTTGGTCCCCTACACTGAAGAAGGTCCAAAGAGGTTTGAAAAGGGTGCAGAAGTT